AACCCTCTCCCCACCCCCTCTCCCCAGCCCCACCCCTCTCCCCACCCCCACCCCCACCCCCACCCCCACCCCCACCCCTCTCCCCACCCCCACCCCCACCCCTCTCCCCACCCCTCTCCCCACCCCCACCCCCACCCCCACCCCTCTCCCCACCCCCACCCCCACCCCCACCCCCACCCCCACCCCTCTCCCCACCCCCACCCCCACCCCCACCTCAGGTGGTGTGGTGGCTGGGTACCATGACGGTGGTGCTGGCGGCGTGCAGGTACGGTTGTGTGTGTGTGTGTGTTCTTGCCTGTGCCTTTTGTTGCAGGTGTTTGTCCGTCTGCACGTTTGTCTGTGCTCTGCCCGTCACACAGCTGAACGGACCTGAGACAGGTTTGCGTCTCCAGGGCAGCGCGGAGGAGCCCGAGCAGACACTGAAGCTCCACAACAGCAGAAGGGACTCCCCCCCCCCATCCACCCCACCCACCCACCGCCGCAAAGGTTCCCTCCGAGGGGGTGTGGGGTGGAGAGGGGCAGGAGGAGGTGCTGTCGCTGAATGAATCGCTAAATCCTCAATGTGAAGTACATGCGCCTGATCCGCAGTTCGAAAAAGCCGTTCGGAAGACCGAGTACTTGGCATGTTGTGCCCATAAGCTAAATCTGGGCCGGACAACTGATAAGAAAGGAAACGTGTGTGTTTTCCGATCTCGACTCAGCTTTTAGCTCTCGCACAGAAAGTTGCGAATGTTCTGCTGGTTGTACGGATGCGTTAAACCTGTACAGGACGTTGGTTTCGGAGGAGCCGGTGGCGTACGACCCGGAGCGCGCCCTTGCTGACGTGGTGTCGTACACTCACTATCTTCCGCGGCACTGGCGAGGTCGTGCGCACACGGCGGAGGTGCAGGTGCGGGGTGAGGATTGGGGTTGCCGTACGACAGTATGTACGGCACACAGGTGTGATCCGAATTCAATAATGTTTTTGCCTACCATCTTGTTGCCCGTTGCGGACTCTTGACAGCGAGTGCGTTGGACGGTGCTAGAATTGGTGTTTTTTCTGCAATATTTTTTCGAATACAATGTCCTTTGCATTGCACATACCCCCCTCCCGTCCCCTCCCTTGCTGTCCTCGTCCTCCCCTCAACCCCACCCCTCACCCCTCACACCCCACCCCACCCCTCACCCCTCACACCCCTCACCCCCGGCAGTGCGCCTTTCTGTCCATGTTCCGTCTCAAACTGGGGCTGTTTGTTGAGGAGCTCGCCTCCCTGATCACCACACCGCTGGTGCTGGCCTGCTCGCTACCCGCGTGCGCAGGTGTGTATGCATGTATGTATGTGTGCGTGTGTGTGTAGGTGGGTGTGGGTGTGTCTGTGCGTGCGTGTGTGTGTAGGTGTGTGTGTGTGTCTGTGCGTGTGTGTAG